GGGCCAGTCTTCCTCAGCAAAAAGAGGAGGATTGGCATGGATGTTACCTCAGGGCTGATCTTCCTCACAAAAAAAAAATATATATATATATATAATGTCTATCTTTCCTTCATGTCTATTTCTGAGATTTAAAAAAATTTTCTGCCCAGTAAAGTTTATCTCATGATATTTCATGATATTTCATGATTCAAAGAATATTAGATCAAATATATTCCTTTACTTTGGGAAAGTACAGCATCACGTGTGTGAATATATTAATTATATTTTCACATTAATTATTAGTTGCTCTAACAGAAGTGGAAAATAATGTAATTAGGTCTGAGTGTTAAAAAAAACTTCAGAAGACCTGTTTTATGTGCTGAAATGTGTTCATTTATAGTTAATTTTATTAATTTTTGTCCATTTTGAATCACTATTTAACTTAACTTTGGATCACTATTTAACATTTGGATCACTATTTAAGATACTTTGGACATGTGTTTGTTTTGAAGAGATCTTTACGGTTATGGAATGCTTGCCCTAATAAAAGCCTACATATCCATTCTGGTTTTTCCTTTTATTTGAGTTTTATATTTATATTTTCTCTGGAGCTTTTACTGTGTTGCTATAGGGTAGTGACACAGTAATAATTTACCAACTTTATTGTAAATATGTTAAGTTATATCAAGAAAATAGCATGATAGTAATCCCAGATGAGAGTTTCTTTAGTACTGCCACAAATAAGCTAGGATATTCCTTGAAACACTTTTAATTTTTATTTTAGTTGAGTGCCTCTGCCTTCCAAAACTAGGTTTGGTACTTCCGAGCTCTCTTCATAGTCAACGTTTACAGCTACATTATTCTACATTCCTAAAACATACTGTAAATGTAAAACAGTATATTATGAATTAGCTGTCTAAGGGAAATTTGGAAAACAGAAAGTACAGTATATAAGGCTCCTGACAGAAGAAATGTCTAAAGGATTAAACCACAAAAAAAATCAGGAAGGGTGAGATGGTGCTCACCTGCAGCCTATACTATTAACAGACAAGAAATGAATCCAGATAAAAGTTTTGTGTTCCACCTATTGTCATGTTTTCTGCTTCCTTTCAAAGCAAAACTCTGTAGAGTTGTGTAGATTCGCCACCTTCTCTTCCTTAGCTTTTACTCTTCCTTGAGTCCAATCCAGCGAGGCCTACATCCTTGTCAATCCACTGAAGTGACTGTTCTGAAGGTCACCGAGGACCTTGTCTTAGCAAATTCAACGGTCTTTCTCTGCCTTTACCTTGCTCATGTTCTCGGCAGTGTTGGACACAATTGACCGCTTCTGCCTTCCTGAAGCACTTGATTCTGAGCTTCAATATATAGTGTCATACGCTTAGATTCTCCTCCTCCTCACTGGCCAGTCCCTCTGTGTCCTTTGCTGGCTTCTCTTCTGAACGTGGTAGAGTCTCAGGGCTCAAGAATATTTCTTCACTCTCCGTAGGTAAGCTCAATAAACATAAGGAAACATTTAAATATCAACAGGGAACAATAACAAAGTTATGGTACACTCAAACACTGGATTATTGGACAGTAATTAAAATGAATGAACCAGCTCCTAACTACTCATTTTGTTACCCTTTGGCTTAGCCTCTTTGAGTTTCTTGTTCGCTGTGTTTGCTTTAATCTAAAATGGAAATATCAACTTCATGAACTGAAATGAAAGAGAATGAGAAAGGATTAAGTAAAAGATATAATATACACGACAGCTCCTGCTTGATATCAGGCACATTAGAATCTGATGTTCTCTTGTCTGTGACATGGGTATCACTGACATTCTCTGAGAGAGAGAGCAATAAGAATGGGATATGTGATTTCAAAATTTTAAGTAAATATTAATTAAAACCTCTCAAAAAATGAGAAGGGCAGCTAAATAGGAATGAGGGAAAGATTAATCAGTCAAATGAAAGACCAGCTCTCATTAATGAGATAATCATAAAAGAGACTGGTAACATTGATCGACCAGCATGCCTCTTTCCAAGAAACATACAGGCTCAGGACCAACTGACAGTCAGTGAAAAATACTATGAAATAGGAATTGCACTGCCTCAGTATATTTTGTGCTAGTGGGAGCTTCAGATGATTTCAGAGGGCATGAAAACTGGGAACTATATTTTTTAGTCCTTAATGTCTTTATATGAAAAGAAAATTATCTTGAATATGAAGCTTACTTCTAGGAGTACATAGTATTAAGCTATTTTGTAAAGTCAACTTAGAATGTTTTTCAGAGGGAGTTTTAATCTGAGTAGTGCTGATTTCCCATAAACTATGTGTCTGTCAACCTTCATAAGGGATAGAGGGACAATTGAACTTAGGTCATAGAGTGTGTTTGCAAAGATCCTAGGCAATATCCTGAAAGACCTAACAAGAGGCAAAAGAGACACTAGGCCCTTGCATCTGGACACAGCTGACAAGCCCCTTATATTAACACTCTGGACCTCAATACATTATTAAGAATAAATGTAACAAATTATAAAGATGCTGCAAAAGTAACCAATGATGGTCAAGGAAACCTAGAGCAGATTAAAATGTGAATTAATTCCTCAGCTAGTAGGTATCTGGGACAACTTGTGGAGCTAAAGGAAAATACACTGGAGAACACTGGATAATAGGTGTTCATTAGAAAGAGGAGCTTCATGAAAAAAAAAGTCACAAACTAAGTGAATTTAAAGCTAGAAGATGTCTCAACTTATACCTAGTAAAGAAATCAGCCATATTTAGTACAAAAAATCTAAAACAAATAGCACAGGTCCAGAAAAATGTCTCCTGCAACATTTCTCTCTAACTCCAATTGGGAGGCACAAGGATTCTTCAAAGCAGTAGGCTTGCAAAGCCTATTTTGAGAAATAATTGCATTTATTAATAAGTTTTAAAATGTCATTGGCACTAGAATTCACTTTCCAATGCAAAACGTAAAGCCAATTAATATATCTGAAAAGGGATATAGTGGATATATCTTAAACTCACATGTTCATATGTTTTAGTAATAGAAACAATTTGTTTTAGTAATACAAACATGAAACGAATCCATACTATATTTAATATTGAGCTGCTCACAAGTCTTTCCTGCTACTTATTTTAAGAAGACTAGAAGCAAAGATGCTGATATAGAAATATCAAGACGTGGGCAAGCTCAAGAAGAGGCATCCAGTCTTTCTCCTTCTCATAGTATTGAATTCACTGCTCATCACACCACAGGTGCTGAACAAATATTCACGGATATGAGTAGGAAACTTTTTTGGGGACACTGAATGAAAATTGAATTAGTATTTTATTACCAACTACTTTTATTAATAATAATAAAAATAAACCCATGAACATGATGATAATTCACCTTTATGAAATTTCTTTTCTCCAAAACATAATCTTGTATAATACACATCAAAAAAGGAACTGTAAGCTAACTCCACACTAAAAACCTATAGCTTAAATTACAGGAACTCAAAAATCACAACAAAAATAGACATGCACACAGTTTGAGACCTAATGAAGGAAAAGCTAGTCTATGCCACCACCTAGTGGCCTCAGAATACAGCACCAAGAGAGCACTTACCCAGGGGCATATCACCAAATTCGAGAATCTGGAGATCACATGCACAGCTACCGCCCTCCTACTCAGCTGGGCCAGCACTGGATCCACCTCTCCTCTTCCTTCTGCAGATTTGCATGAGCCTGACCTTTGGACAAAAGAAAGCGGGAACATCATCAAGTGGATTGTTGCCTTTGCCCCCCTCATATAATTTCCTCCACCCCTTAACTGATACCTATCTATGTGAGGTGTAAAAATGCACCTTCACACTCATCAGACTAAACGAGCAGTAATAAAAAAATTGGTCAGAGAAACCTCATACACTGTTACTAAGGGTATAAATTTATAAGGCAGTTTGGCACTATTTAGTAAAGATGAATATGTACATACTTTATGACCCAGCAATTCCACCTCTAGGTAAACACTCTAGAGCAGCGGTTCCTATCCTCCAGTACACAGATCCCCCAGGGGTCTATGCAGAGATTACCAGAGGGTCCAGTAACTGGGATGGGAAAAATCTCTATTGTCACCAACTTCTAACTGAAAATAAGCATTTCTTCTGAATATGAATGTAGGCAATAAATTACAATATTGTTAACAGGACCTGTGACTTTGTGACCAATAAATACCATCGATGTTGTCCAATTCCATTTAGAGTTGTTGCAAAAATATCAAAATTGCTTTTATGCTCATCACTACTTCAAAATTATGATAGCTGATAAATCCAACGATTCATCTTGTTATTTAGTTATTTAGTTATTCTTAATAAAGAAGCATGTCTATTTCTTTATCAAGAATTTACTTTTAAAAAACAACAAATGTTGAAGAGGTTGTAGAGAAACAAGAACCCTAATTCATTGCTGGTGGGAATGCAAACGAGTGCAGCCTCTATGGAAAACAGTATGGAGATTCCTCAAAAAATTAAAAATAGAAATACCATATGACCCAACTATCCCACAACTGGGTATTTATCCAGTGAACCTGAAATCAGCAACCCAAAGAGGCTTATGCACCCCTATGTTCATTGCAGCATTACTCACTATAGCCAAGAAGTGGAAGCAACCCAAGTGTCCCTCGACTGATGACTGGATAAAGATGATCTGCTATATGTATACAATGGAATACTTCTCATCCATAAAAAAAAGACAAAATCGCCCCATTTGCAACAACATGGATGGACCTGGAGGGTATTAGGTTAAGCGAAATAAGCCAGAGAGAGAAAGACAAACACCGCATGATTTCACTCATAAGTGGAAGATAAACTAACACATGGACAGAGAGAAGTGTTTGATGGTTACCAGGGGCAAGGGGCTTGCCAGGTCGGCATAAAGGGGGAAGGCATGCATTTGTACAGTGACTCACAAACAATCATGTAGAACTAAAATTTCACAATGTTATAAACTATTATATCAATAAACAAATTTAAAAAAGAATTTACTTTTATATTTTAATGACTGTAGCTCAATAAAATCTGTTTTCTATGTAACCCTATATATTTGCTAGGCATATAAAAACATTAGGGTTCCATAGACTCACAAGATTTCTCAAGGGTTTCATGGCACACAAAAGGTTAAGGATCCCTGCACTAGAGAAATTCTTCGTATGGAAATACCTATTAAAAATTTTAAAACATCTTTGTCCATAATAGTCAAATGGACAAATAAAGATATATCCATACAATGGAACAGCATAAGGCAGAGAAATGTATTAATTACTGTGACTCCATAAATATACATGATTTTAAAAACCTTATGTCAAAGCTAAGAATCAAGTAACAGAATAATAAAAATATTCCGTTTCCATTTCTAGAAAGTTCTAAAATATGCAAACCAAAACAATATATTGATTAGAGTTATATGCAAATATGGTTTTTAAAAAATGAATGCAATGATTAACACAAAATTCGGGATCATGGCTACTTGAGGGAGGTCGGGGAGGCTGTTGTAGGGAGGAGAATGTGACCAGAAGGGAATTGGGCTTCTAAATTACTGCCAATATTCTATTTCTTAAGCTTGGTGGCAGGGTGACAGGCATTCACTTTATTATACTTCTTTAAAAGTTTACCGATACATTACATACAGTTTTGTATGGATGATACATGTTTCCCATTTTACCTCCATAGATAGGCAACTTCAGTCCACCCAATCTAAAATAACTACCAGTTACTCTGTATCCCATTAGCCTATTTTAATAATCCAGATTTATCTAGCTTGGGACTATTTGTCCTTTGGACTACTTCTCAGAAATTTAGGATATACACAACAATTTTCAAAATACTTACACTATGTATCTTTTAGGGACTTGAGTGATTTTCTTTTTAAAGTCAGAGAAAAACATTTCTTGTTAAATGCTGTTTAGAAGCTATTTTCCACCACAAATCTAAAACCACCTTAAAGATCACACATCTTGTAAAAACAAATGGTAAACGGAACTGGTTTTACAATCTGGCTTCAATCCCTGGATGTGCAACTTAGCAGCAGTGACCCTGAGAAAATTCTCTCTCAGAACTTCACCTTCCTCATTTGGAGATAAAACTGAACTCACAGAGTTTTGAGGATAATTAGAACCTGTGAGAAAGGGAATAGGAGATTGTCTAGGCACCTAGCAGCACTTAACCAACCTTTTCCCTCTCTACGTTGCAGCCATAAGTTTTGCTCTTCACTATCTGTTAAGTATTTTCATCTTGGAAGTTCTCCCTACCTTTCTGCTGACTAGATGCAGTTGATGAGGGGGCTCTATGGATGGCAAAGCCACAGGGTAGAAGAAGCCTGGGTCCTTAATCCACCCACTTTGGATTCTTAAGGAACAAGAAATAAGATCCTGTTACGTTTGAGACGTTATACATTTTGGTGTCATTTGTTACAGCAGTTTAGCCTATCCTGTTTAATATACAGTATTCTTGAAAGGTTGAACCACATTGAGGAATACCAGATGCAGCTGTAGGGGTCAGAACCAGTCATAAACAAATAAATTGAATGGCTACCTACCAAATACCGAGATATCCAGCCTCCTTCCCTTCTCAGCTACAGGAGCCTGTCAAAAATGCTTCTTAATCCACAAATGGGACCCTGGAAGTTTCCTCACAGGGCTAACTGACGAGACTAGAGAAATGACTTACAGACGATAACAGATGGGGC